CACATGCGCAATGGGTCTAATCAGCAAGTTACGGCTGGACCCAGCGTCCAAAGCACTCTCAAGGTTCAATTCAGAACTTCCTCATCTTCAGGTTCTAACTCTCCAGCTTTTGCTGCAATCCAGTTTTCAACCTTTGGAAACCAAACCCTACATTTACTGTTTTTGCCACTTAACTCGCCCTTACTCTTATCATGCAACTCCATGTGCCTATCAAGTTCTTCCTTTTGTTTAAGGCGAACGCCGCAGGAGGTGCAGAGATGTGGAAGATCATCAAAGAGACTACTAATGACAGAGGGGTGAAGTTCACGGATTTTGTCTGCCCTAAACTTCAATCCTATGAGGTCCTCAGGTTCAGATTTTGATGTCTCAGATGCAGTTAACCCTTTTACCTTAGGGGCAGTGGATGGCCCCTTCTTCACCAGAACAGATGGTTGAGCATCTGATGGAACCACAGATACAGACATAGAGCTATTGGTGGAATGATCAGGACTATATTCCTGCGTTATGGAAGGAGCCGATGGCTGCTCTGTCTTTGAAGCAGATATCAAGCCCTTTGAAACTAAGGAGCTCAAGAGGCATGAAAGAGGATCTGAGGCCTTACTATTCTCTTTTGACGTTTGTACTGATGTGATGCCAGTAAGAGACGCTGCACATGAGACAAGTGGTGCGGAGGATTGTTCAACTTTTAAACGAGCTAATAAATTGTCACCAGCCAATGAAATTGGCAATGCTGATGGCAAATTCTTAGGCTTAGAGGCCGCTGATAGGGTTAGTGCCCCTGGGTTAACCTCATCCTGAGAAATTTCCTCCTTGATCGCACCATGTGTTGAATTATTAGAAAGGATTCCACTCTTCATGACAGCTTCCAGCAAATCACTCATGTTGGGTTGTCCTGTAGCTTCTGAGGCAATAGTTAGGCCTGGAGCATTTTCAGCTGCCAACTTAGAGTCAAAGATTTCCACTTGAGATGCATCAGGTAGTTCACGCATATTTGTGTTTTTAAACTGACTACTTGAAGATGGGATCCGTACAGAGTCATCCCTGGGAACATTTTTTGCTGGAAACCGGGAAGCCCTAGGATCACGTTGAGGGAGGGAGTGAGCTCTTCTAACATCTTGCT